CAGAATACCGGTAGAGCCGTGCATTGGATCATGCATTTGGTTGCAACGGACACGTGGCATGTCCGTCCTTTGGGGGAAGGACCCGAGCAAGCAAGGAGGGTTGGCTGGAAGCGAAAGGGCGTCTAGGCACAAAAGACATAACGTCAGAGCCAGCCTAGGCTGACGTAGCGTCCCTAGTCTCCACCTTCTAGCACCTCCCATTCCCTCTGCCCTCCCGTGCCCTCCCTTGCCCTCCCGTGCCCTCCCGTGCCCTCCCGTGCCCTCCCGTGGGTGATATTTGAGTCGACTCAAAAGGCACCTGTAGACGTAGCGTCCCTAGTCTCCCCTAGCCTCCTCCACCCTCTGAAACTGCCCACGTTGCCTTTGCCCTCCCCACCACCTCCCCACTTCCTTTCTACGTCCCCTTCCCTCCCCTCCCCCGTGCCCCACCCCCGCCTTCCACTGAAACGCCTCAATGCTTTCCGCCGTTTCCTCTGTCCCTCCCGCCCGCCCTTCCTCTGCCACCACTCCAACGCCCTGGACGGGCGGCAGAAAGGCAGCAGAGGGGCGGCAGAGGGGCGGCAGAGGGAGAGGGGACGGGAGAAGGCGAAGAGGCTGTGTCGTTTTCATGAAACTATCCCGGTACTGCTACCTCTACTCCTCTGCTTGGCCTGCTGTCTACTCGGATTTTGAAGTGGACCTTTTTTGTGCCCACTCAAAGACTATTCCGCTACTGCTGCTACCTCTACTCCTCTGCCCAGCGCACGGCAAGACTCCAGCACTAGCTCTCTACTCGCCAGGCTCACTTCTCGCCCGCCTTTTACCCAGACTCTAGACCTTTAAACTTTGATTCGCAGCTCCGATTCGAGCATCTGTGCTTTCAAACCCTCCCTCCTTCCAGCCACATCTTCCGAGCCTCCACTCACCGAGGTTATCTGGCCGACTTTGCCGTCCTTGGCGGGTTGATTCTTGACCTGAAAGACTGACCAGCTGGACGGGTTGTCCGTCACGTACTCGAAGATCCCCTTCGCACACTGTCGCACGCTATCGCACACTGTCGCACGCACTCACCGAGATCATCTGGCCGACGTTGCCGTCCATGGCGGGTGCATTCTTCAGCTGAATGGCGGATTTGCTCGACGGGTTGTCCGTCACGAACTCAAAGATCCCCTTGGCGCGCTCCCCCTGCGGATCCCCCACGCGCGGCTTCTCCGCGCTGCTCTCCGCATCGCCGGCCGCCGCGCGCACGGCTGGGAGACGGACCGAGACGGGGCCCTGAAGGAGGAATTTGGCACGGGGTGGGAAGAGAGGGGGGGGAGGAGGGGGGAGGGCTGATGAATTTTAAGATGCAAAACTCGTGTACGATTCCTAGGAGTGTTAGAAATGACAGCTCTAGGCTTGAGGCGCCTCAGAAAGGAAAGGCGAGAACGCTTGAGGCACTGGGAGTGGCGCGAGGCAGTAAGCCTGTGAGCGATGTCAAAGCAGCAGCCTGAGGCGTCACTGACACCTCCTTTGGTGACGCAGGTGCCTGCTGCTAATGCAGCAGCCAGAAGACTGACACAGGTGAAAGTTGTAGGTAGCAGTGTTGGAGTTAGCACCACCCTAACGGCACATGTTCGCGGTTGTGAAACGGTGTTCTGGTGAAACCTTGCTAGTGCCACGTAAGAATGCTTTACCAATCGGATGTCGTATCGCAGTATGGACCTGGAAGTACGTCATGGATGGGGAAGCAAGAGTTATGTGCACGGGCCGTTGCATAGAGAAAGAATCTACCTTCGAAGCGGAATACTGGGGAAGATTTGTGGCCAGGCCGAGCTGGCAGCTGGTCGCGCGAGCCGCAAACGCCATGGCTAACGTACAACTAGGCAGCTGGCCAGGGGCTAACGTACGTCTTTCGCAAAGTCTCTTTCGAAGCCACAGGTTCGCAACCGAATGCCGCTCCGACAGACAACAAAGCTAGCGCAAACGGAGCAAGTTTCTCGCAAGGCTTGGTTGGGATGCTTGCCTCTGAAAAGGCACAGACCAGCTTTATTGCCAGACTCAAGCTGGGGGGGGCTGAAAGCTGGGCGACCGATACTGGTCAGACTTGTACTACTGACGGCGTGAGTTCTAGCCTCCTAGGTATGGATAGGAAATTTTACATTCCCTCATACTTGGAGATGCACTCACAAGGCCGACATTCCCAAGGGCATTGCCATGCCGAGCGGACCATATAACAAAGCTGATGTGTCAAATCGCACAAGCTGACTGCAACTCAAACTAGCGACTGACGCGCTCCTTTGGCAGAGTGGCTACCGTTGATTGCTTGGTTCAAGCGCTTCGTGACACAACCAGCCACGCTGGATGCCTGCCTTTCAACATTTGGGTGGAGTTGTGGTAGTCGTGACTCGTGGCCTAACCGCATTGGTGGGCGAAGGTTGGGCATTTGGTTGTGAATAATCCGCATAGTACATGTGCACACCATACAACAATCAAAATCAAACTAGAGAAGCTACACATCACAAGCACTCGTTTCCTTTGCACGTGTCTTCCTTGCCCCCTTTGTCAGCTCCTCTAGCCTCCTTCACTCCTCCCCTTAACACACTTGGATCGATCCCAAAACGCTGCAAAAGCTCCTCGGGAGACGGATGGTCTGCTACTGTCAACTGTCTAAATTCATGAAGCAACTTGCCACCTTTATCTAGTGCCAGTGTAGCCCCAAGTTGCCTGCAGCCATTGCGCGAACAGATGCACAGACGCATTTGACAATGGGATGTTACACAGTTCAAGAGAACAGAGCCCAAACCACCTAAAGACAAATTCATACAGCAAATTTGTTGAGGAATACGTGTACTCACAGGCCGTCTCCAGCCAGATCGCCCTTCACATTGGCCGTGTCTCCAAGAGACTTCTTCACCGTCTTATCAAAGAGCAGCTGGTAGGCCACCTGATGGGTGGTGAAGACGAGGAAGGGATGACGGGAGCGAGGAGTGAGGATGCTGAAGGCCAGCATAAAGCGTGCAGCACACCCTTACCTGCCAGTGCAGCATGCAGCACGCCCTCACCTGCCAAAAGGAGATGGATTTGAGTTCCAGCGCCCGGTAGGCCTGCTTCCCATCGTCTATGCACAGCTCGCCCTTCCAGTGGAGATTATAGGACGGCATGCAGCAATGCAACCAGGGTGCACCAAAGAAGTTTACCCTCACCTGCCAGTAGGAGATGGACTTGAGCTCGAGCGCCTGGTATGCCCTCTTTCCATCATCAATGTACAGCTCGCCCTTCCAGTAGCCCCCATCCACGAACTCGTCCAATCCCAGATGGTCCAGCCCTGGGGGAAACGAGAGAGTTGGGGGAGTGGCAGAGGGAGCATGGCAGGCAGGCAGGGAGGGAGAGTGAGCGGAAGAGGAGGCGCCCTTCCAGTAGCCCCCATCCACGAACTCGCCCACACCCAGATGGTCCAGCCATGGGAAGAACGGGGGTCGAGGGAGGGAGGGAGGGAGGAAATACGGAATGCAGGAACACGGATGGGAGAACTCCACGAATTCGTCTGCGCCCAGATGGTCCAAGCATGGGAAGAAGGGAGAGAAACGAAGTGACGAGAAAGGGAGGGGAGTTTAGATTTGTTCCCAGAGACACCCTTCTGAGACACCCTTCTAAGCAAACCGTGAAGTTTCCAGCATAGTTCATTCTGGAGGCGAATTTGAAGGCACTTGAAGAAAAAGACTGTGGAGGCCCATCTACGACCCAGCGTTTGCAACGGCCATCAGCCCAAGAGGCATAGCTGGTGAGGGATGGCCCGTGACATGACATGTCCATGGCTCCTCCGCCGCAACTGCACGATGGCTCTAAGCAGTAAGCCGGCCAGGAATTCACTCACCAATGGCAACGACCCGCACGCCCGCTTTCTGCAGGTGCGGGATGGCGCGAGACATGTCCATGGCTCCTCCGCGGCAGATGCGGCAGCCGAAGCGGCGGAGAAAATGAATCAGCACGGGCTGGTGGGGGAGAGAGGGGAAGGGGAGGGGGCAGGAAGGAAGGGGAGAAAGAGGAGGAGGAGGAGGGAAGGAATGGGGACGGGGAGGAAAAGATGAGGCATAAGGAGATTCGGCGAATAAAGGAGGACGGGGAAAACGCCGGAGGAAAAAATGATGGGCGAAAATCAAAACAGAAAGAAAAGAGGTGAGCTGCTGGAGCCAATTTCAGCATGCAGGCATCCACTGCTGGAGCCACCCAAGCATCCACACCATCTCAACCATCCACACCATCTCAACCATCCACTACCGGAGCCACCCTGCCATCCGTTTCTCACCTGCGTCTGCCAAAACGACCCTATCTTCACCACCTCGTCGCTTCCAGGCCCCACTATACGCTCAACCGGGACGTCCTTTAACGCGGACGCAATCTTCATGGAGCCTGCGTCCCCCGCATGAGCCGCGGGATTCGACATGTCGAGACCCGCCGTGCAGGTTCCAGACTCCTCGGAAGCGGCTTGGTTGACAGAATTCTCAAATTGCTCAGAAGTCGCTTGGCTTTCAGAGAACTGACCACTGGCCGTGCTTTGCCTTTCCTTGAGTCCGCAGTCCACGCTACCTTCGAGCGACGTTCCCTGGACGAGTGTCGCACTGGTACGAAGGAGGATGGCCAGCAACCGGAGGAGAAAGAAGATTCGACGAGAGTGAGGAGATCGACGAGGAAGCGGCGGAGGGTGCGAGATTCTTCTCGCAACAGATAGCGGTCGTGGGGTAGGCGCGTCGCGAATTCTCATGTGTCCGTCCCGGAGCTAGCGCTAGCAGGAGGAAAGTCGATCAAGGCTCAGAGTCTCGTGGAATGAAGGTAGAAGACTACAAGTCGCTGGCTCCTTCCCACATACACCTATTCTTGCTACAGTGCTGTGAATCCCTCCGCTTCCATGTCCCTCCAACACATTGGCCTGCCAATAATCTGACTCGGAATGGTCCCTTCCCAAACTCATTGCCCTTGCGCTGCGTGGCGTTGCTTATTACGAGACACGTGGCATCTGAAGTAGGCGTTCTGCATCCTCGGGCACACTGGACGGCGTGTTGCAGGCATGCTGGACAACGGGAATTCACCCGTGACAAATTGGCTTCTCAAACCCTAGTAGCCTGTCAAACAAAACCCTATGAACCGTTACAAGCGGGTCTCCTACAACCCGAAGAATGTCCAGAACCAATGGTGCGGGCAAACAGACTCGAACTAGGTATAGTGGTGACTCATAACAATGAGAAACCTACAAGACAGATACAGGCAAGACGACCGGACTAGGAGGCTGCAAAGAACCTACAATATAAAGTTCTACAAAACAGACGTTCCACTTAGGACTCTGCAGGCTTGTCCTCATCCTTCTTGACAGCCAGCTTCTCAAGCTCCTCTGCTGTTTTCTCTGCCTCCTTCGCCACCTCCTTGGCTGCATCTGTGTCCTTGGTTCCCAGAATCGCCGCCATCTTCTCCTGTGCCTCCTCAAATGCGCTCTTGAACTTCTGAGCGCCTGGAATGGATAGGGTGGACGATAGGAGACAGAAACAACCTCAGGACATCAGGGACGTATACTAGAGAGGGAATGAGGAGAGTACATGACTCAGGAACAGAATGTGAGAGGGGTGTGTGTATATATACATTCATATGTGAACATATATGTTTAGTGCCAGATGCACACACATTAAGGATCCACTTTCCTAGCATTTCTAACAAGAGAGTTTCAACACGGATCCAGTCCGTTTCCACAAAGGGCTCTTCACACAACCAACCCATCTGCCTCCGTGAAGGAGCCTGACAACACTCACTTTCTGGCGAGCCGAACCGCATGGTGAAGAGCTCCTTCTTCAGCTCTCCATCAGCGAAGTCCTGCGCGTGCCACACCCATGACTTGTCGCTCCCTGCGTGCTCCTGAAGCGACATGGTCGGTAGTACTGCAGAGGGAAGAGAGCACGAGATGCCAGGAATTGAAGGAAAGGTTGGAGGTCGTAGAACTTGGCCTCCGATGCTCCATACCAGCCACAACTTGGCCTCCGATGCTCTAGACCATAAATTTGGAATGCAATTCTAAAAGCTAACACTCGAAGAATCACAAGGCGACAAGCCGGGATCAGAACCCGAAATGACAAGTGAAACGGAGGGATAACGTTGACCATTACTTCGACTTACTGTCAACTTTTGTCGTGGGAAGGAGTACTGGGCAATGAATTCGTGAAAAATAGGGAAGAGGATAGTGAACGATGAATTTCCGTATTCCTCATTGCTCAGGTTGCCCTACCTGTGTGGTTGGCGCAGATCTTCAGCGTTTTCTGCTGCCGCATCAACAGCCGGATCTTCTTCGTCTCCTTGTGCTCCAGGAGCTTCACTTGGCCTACACCCCGCTCTTTCCATTGGTTTCCGTCCTTATCAAACCGGTAAAGCTTGGATTTGCTGGAAACATAGCCACCAGTCAAGTCAAGCACCCAAGGAAGGGTTCAATAAGGAACCCTACGCGGACTCGATAGCTCGAATGAATTCCAGGCATGGAAACGACGCACAAAAATTAGGGTTGCCAGACCTACAGTATTACACAGGTAGCTTCGAGATGGACCAAATAAGACTAGCAGAGCAAACGGAACTAAAAGGATAAGAAATCGAGTTCGCTTCAAATACTCGAGACGAGCGTCTAACGTCCATCAAAACTGCAGCGAATCGGCAGAAGTTCTAGCGTGGTCGACAGCTTACATCTCAAAGAGGGTGTTCTCATCTTCTTCACCGGTGGAGACGGTAACCTCCTCCAGCTTCACAATGGGAGCGATGTGAGCTCCAGTGTCCTCATCGTCAGCCTTGGGAGCATCGTCATCCTCCTCCTGGTGAGCGGGATTCTCGATCTTCTCCTCCTCCCCAGACATTTTCACGGCCTGAAGTGCGGCGTGAAATAATCTACGGGACAAGTAGAGACGACTTACAACAGAACAGACCGAGGTGATTCCTGCTCAGCGTCGAGTACCTTGAGCAGTTGGAAACTGGAATAGATCCTGGCTTCGAACTGCCAGATTTGCTTGTGTTTCGGCTGTCTGCACATTTGGAAGTGGGGTGTATCAACGGGTGGTTGAGGAAGGTGAGGCAAGGCAAGCTGGTTGGTGGATGGTGGCCATGGGTACACTGCTTTCGAGCAGCCTGATGGCATGGATGGGATGGGATGGGGTGGGATGGGAGAATCATGGGATGGTTTGGTTCCATTCGATGACGCACATGCGGACTGCTCAGCGCGTGCCACATGATACCACTGATGTTAGCATGGGCTTTCGCGAACCCCAAAAAGCAGGCTCCCAAGTTCTCTCCGCTTCGGGAATTTCGTAGTCGTTGTCTGTATGTGCTTGTAGTGGTGAGAATTCTTAGTGTCGTTGTTTGCAGTCGCGCGCTTCTATAGCGATGTCCCTGGTTAGGAAATATCATCCAGCTCGACCTGCTAAATATCTATCCCCGAGCAAAGTGAATGTGCCAGTGCGCTTTTCGAATCTGCCCGCTTCAAGGGCATAACGCCCAATCAAACCTTACATCTCCTGTGTCGTCAGTGCCCGTTGTGTCGGCAGAGCCAATGGATGGAAAGTCAGACTACAGTACAGTACACCTTTTCTCCTCTATTATTTTACCTGGAACAGTCTAAATCGCAATCCCACTACTTCGTTCTCAGCATGACTCTCGTTGACAGTGAACCTGATTGGCTGCAGTCTGAACGACAGCGAACAACCAAGTCATATTTCGACAATTGCGAGTTTCCGAGCTTGGACGTCGCGCAAGCAACTAATCCAGTGCATGAGCGAGATTTTAATAACCATGTGTCAGTGCTTACTTTGGGTATTCCCCTTCAAGGTCCCGTTTGCCCTTGTTTTACCATTTCCTGCTTACAGGCTTAAGCCGCGTGCAAAAAACATGAAACTAGATAGGAAACAAAGTGTACGCTACTATAGTCCATAGGCATCTACTCCTCCATCCATCCAACATTTTGAGCTGAACAAAACACGCGCTAACCTCAACAGCACATCAGGCCACTCTGCTGGAGTTGCCCAGGAACTCCCAGCAGTGAACTAGCAGCGGCAGCAAAACCACCAGCAGCAGGTCCTACTAAGCAGCTTTCTTCTCCACTCACATCCTGGCGGAAGCCATGCCATCACTGCTCACACCCATGCACTTCATGGTCCTAGTTCTTTCTTGGCTGCAGCAGGATATGTGAGTGAGGCTAAGAAAGGCGAAGGTGTTTTAGGTGTTGAGTAGTTCCAAGCCCTCGCTTGTGCTTTGTCCCTTCTAATAGTCGCCTTGTTTTCGCGCATGGAGCATGCAAGACCGTCTTTTAGGGTCGTCTCTGTTTCTCTGCGCTAGTGCGATACCCCAATTCGTTATTAATCAGGCAGCATCTTCATTATCATTCTTGTAGTAGCTCTCGCTCAAGCCGCCGCTCATTCAAAAATCTTTTAGCTACAAGTTATCCTCCCAGCAGCTTTGAAAGTTCCCCCATCCAACCATCTTAGCACCATCTCCGCTTGGCATTTTACACAGCGCTTAGGACTATAATCAGCACCGCGACAATGATTCCGTCTAAGGGAAACTCGTTTGCGGAGTATGGTGAAAAGCCGAGCTCGCGCCGGCCTGGATTGCTGAAGAACCAGCTGCGGCTGGTGCGGAGAGTCATGCCGGACGGCAAGGCGAGGAAGGAGATCGCTCCAGTGGAGGAGAAGCTGTCGTTTGAGAAGGGCTTCTTCCTCTTCATCCGGGCCGTCCAGCTGCTCACACAGGTGTGCCCAGCTGTTGTGTCTTGCTGCAGTGTCTGGCTGCTGATGTATGAGACTTCATTAATCTTGACAAGCATGTTATGCCTGAAGGACTATTTGACACATTATGGCTCCGGCTTCCAGCTTTGCTGACGATTTCAGAGTCACCATTAGTGGCAACCTGACAGCAACGCGGTCGTTCAGCATCAGCTGAAGGCGATGGTTATCTCACATCTGGCTCTATTGAGAATCCCATCTGATATTCGGTTTTAGAGAATATGACTCTTTCTGTTCCATTGACTATCTGAAATTCGGCGACAATGGCTATCAACCTTGCAATCTCAATGACTATCTGACACTCAGCGTCAATTACTTTTTGACACTCGACTTCAATAAATATGTGTGATTCGGCTTCGACAACTATCTGACATCCAACCACGACGGCTGTCTCGCCTCAGCGTCAATGGATATCTGACTCCGATCATTGACTTACTAATGCCGTCTCACTTTCGTCTCTTGCGACGGGCCGTGTCGTGCAGAACAACCCGGGCGTGATCCTGGTGGGGCTGGCGGGCCCGTCGGGCGCGGGGAAGACGGCGTTCACGTGCAAGGTGGCGGGGTTCATGCCATCCATCGCGGTCATCTCCATGGACAACTACAACGTCGCCAGCCGCGTCATCGACGGCAACTTCGACGGTCAGTCGCTCACTCGTGTTGCTTTTGAGTTGACTCAAAAGTCGACCCAACAACGTACAACGTCGCCGATGACGTCATCGACGGCAATCTCGACGGTCATTCTCTCGTGCTGCTTCGATGCTCTTCAGCCTGCCTCCTCCGTTTCTTAGGCCGCGTCCTTGCCTGCACTGGGTGTTTTTCTGGTGAATTGTGTAGTGTCAGGCGTGTTCGATGCTACATAGCCTATCAGCTCTCATTTGTGGTGCATCCATGTGTGACGTGTGCGCGTGTGTGGCTTCAACCAGATCCGCGCATCACCGATTATGAGTTGCTTCTGGAGAACATTGAGGGGCTCAGGCGAGGGGAGGCAGTGCAGGTGCCCATGTACGACTTCAAGACCAGCCAGCGCGTCGGATTCAGGTATGTAGGCTGCGGGTTCGTGCATGTGGGGCCCAAATACGTGCCAACTGAGATGCGTTCCGAGTCATGCTCTATGGATTAAAAGAATGCCTGGCTCGATTAGATTTTTGTTGATAAGGTGATGATTCGTTCTAGTTTCTTGGTTCCGCATGTCAATGCAAGGCACAAGCTCTGCCCTCTGTAACCTGTCATTCAAGATCGATAGATCGTGTTCGTCACTTCTTGTTGCCTGTCATATCTCTTTCCTAACCCCCTTCGGACCTTTCATACGATGGTCTTCCCCAAGGGAGCAGCCGGTGCCCAAGTCGCGGGTGATCATCATCGAGGGCATCCACGCGCTGAACGAGCGGCTGCGCCCGCTGCTGGACCTGCGCGTGTCCATCACAGGCGGCGTGCACTTCGACCTTGTCAAGCGCGTGCTGCGAGACATCGACCGGTCGGGGCAGGCGCCTGAGAGCATCATCCAGCAGATATCAGAGACGGTGAGAGGCGGGGAGATTGAGTCAATGAGCTTCACTCCACATGTGCATCTGTGGTTTCCTTGAGGAGCACCCACGCGCATGATGCGGCCAGGTGTGCCCGATGTACAAGGCTTCAAGTGAGGCAGAACTGAGCGTAGGGGTGCCTCTATAGTTCACACTTCTGTGCTAGCTCGCTGTGGGCAGGTGTACCCCATGTGCAGGGCGTTCAAAGAGCCGCAGCTTAACCTTGAGGTGCCTCTAAATTTGCCGTTTCCTCCCCTATTGGCTGTGCACAGGTGTACCCGATGTACAAGGCGTTCATAGAGCCGGAGCTGAAGACGGCGCACATCCGCATGGTCAACAACTTCAACCCTTTTTCCGGCTTCCAGGACGCCACCTACCTGCTCAAGGTGAGCTTGCCGGGTTCACCCCTTCTTTTGAGGCGCCTCAAAAGCAGACACATTATGCATGGCGGTCAACAACTTCAACCTTTTCTCCAGCTTCCAGGATGCCACCTACCTGCTCGAGGTGACCTAGCTGGGCACTTCTCCGTGTCTGCCTTGCATGCCAGCATCTCAATCCGCGCTCTCTTCCTGTCCCTTTGGCACATGCCTGCTACCCCAAAGCGGAAAGATCTACATCATCTACAGCAGTCAAATGCTGCACCCCTGATATGTGTCCTATTCACATGCACTTTAATCATCCTGTGCTTTCCCATTCCCTTCCGCTCTGTCCTTTTGAGTTGACTCAAAAGTCTTTCCCTTCCTCTCTGTCCTTTCTTTCCCCTCTGCACGGGACTGGGGCCTGCAGTCTCCTGCAGAGGGCGAGGGGTGGGAGGAGCGCGTGAAAGCGGTGGTTGTAGGCGAGCAGTCGAGGGAGGAGGTGGAGACATACGAGATCTACCTGCTGCCGCCTGGGGAGGACAAGGACACATGCCAGTCGTACCTGCGCATGCGCAATAGGGATGGCCGCTATTCCCTCATGTTCGAGGTTAGTGCTTGGGAACGGTGGAGGCTGTGCTGTGGAACAGTGAGAGAGGTTATAGGGCACCTGTCAGATTTATGTTAGTAAATGGGATGTTCATGAGTTAGATATGTCGAGATGGCCGAGTTGGTCTAAGGCGCTGGATTAAGGTTCCAGTCCGAAAGGGCGTGGGTTCAAATCCCACTCTCGACAGTTTTTCCTGATGCATCTGTAGCATATACCGTCACCTGGGTAGAGGCTATACAGACGCATTGATTTGATCCTCCACATTCGTAGCCTTTTGTTATGTTCTTCTCCTCACACCCATTCTGTCCTCTCCCTTTGCCATCCCATCCCTTTCTCCCCTTCCCAAATTGTTCCTATGCACCTCCCCCCTCCCCATCTAGTTCCATGTCATTCTGCCTTCCATTCCTCGTTGCCTGTTGGTTTACCCTGTCCGCTTCCTCTCTCCCCACACACCTCGCGACGGGCGCCAAGCTGCTCTGTCATGACTACCCCTTGCATCACCTTCAGTGTCACTCTCTCCCCCCTCCCCAACTGCAGGCTGCTGGGCGGCCTCAGGCGCCGGGGTACGAGATAGCACACTTAATGCACCAATCACCCCCCTCAACGCCCCCTCCCACCCCTTCTCCCTGCCCAATTGCAGGAGTGGATGACAAACGTCCCCTTGGTATTCACACTGCACAACACCTTCAGTGTATCTGTGCGGCTGCTGGGAGGCCTCAATCCCTGACCCTCCCCCTTACCCCCCCCCCGTCTCCCAACTCTTCACCCCCCAATTGCAGGAGTGGGTGACGGACGGCCCCTTCATAATCACACCTCGCATCACCTTCAGTGTCAGCGTGCGGCTGCTGGGCGGGCTGATGGCGCTGGGGTACGAGATAGCGCACATCGTGCACCGCGAGTCGGTCGTTTTCCGGGAGCAGGGGGACGCGAGCAGCGCTCTCACAGTGAAGCTGGACAGGATAGAGCAGCTCAAAGCCACCTACGTGCAGGTGAGGGGGAGGGGGGCGAAGGGAGGGCTACGAGATAGCACACAGTGTGCACTGCAAGACAGTGGTAGGGAGGGAGCAGGGGGGCGCGAGCAGCGCTCTCACAGTGAAGCTGGACAGGATAGAGCAGCTCAAAGCCACCTACGTGCAGGTGAGAGGGGGGGGACACGAAGACAGTGAGAAGGGGAGGAGGAAGAGGGGGGGGAGACAAGTAGCGCTCTCACAGTGAAGCTCGACAGGATAGAGCAAAACCACCTACGTGCAAGTGAGGGTGATGGAGGAGAGGAGTGGAGGTGTGAGGGGGTGGTGAGGGGGAGGGGAGGGGGAGGGGAGGGGGAGTGTGCGCGGCTGCTTTGTCTGGTCTGGACTTTGGGGATGGGAGGATGGCAGTTGTTCCTTCGTCATTCAATCGATTTGACCCATGTGTGCAGTGCAGCACAGGCATCAACAATGAGGTAGCTGCATGTGAGACCGTTTCCCATGTGGCTCCACGTCATCATCTTGTTCATGCAGGCGATAGGCAAGGATCGCAAGCTAATGCACGAAACTCCTCAAAGTAACTTGCTGCTTTGCTTCTGTGATGTCCGTACGGATGTGTGCAGGTGATAGGCAATGACCGCAAGCGGGTGGAAGAGGCACTTGGCAATAGCTACTCTTCTTCCAAACTCTGTACCTATGCGTGCAGGTGATAGGCAAGGACCGCAAGCGGGTGAAGGACGTGGCAGAGCAGCTGGGCATGGACGGCAAGTACATATCCCATCCTTATATCGAGGATATCAAGCTGCACCACCTCACTCAGGAGATTCAGAGCAATCAGGTAGCCACAAATGGGCCGATCAATTTGCACAACGCCATCCCACGTTCATGATTCAATTCAGCTTCACAACCCGCTTCTTCCGATCCCTCCCACCGTTCCACCACGTTCCTCCAGCTGCCTTCCCTTTCCTCCGACGATTTCAAGGCTCGCTCCCGCATATCTGTTGGCATTCTGCCCTTCAGCCCGCCCAAGGGTCCATTTACACATCTCTTTCTATTCCGTACCCTTACTCCCCCTCCTCTCCCCACCCCTGCCCACACCCCTCCAACCCCAACCCCCCCCTTCCCTCCCTCCCCTCCCCCAGCCGGCCCCTCTCTCGTCCAACGTGCTCAAGCAGCGTCTGCGCATCTCCGACGACATTCTGCCCTTCAGCCCGCCCGTGGGGCCGCACCTTGCCTCGCCCTCCTCCCCCGCCGCTGCCTCCTCCTCCTGGTCGGCTGGCGCACGCAAGCTCGACAAAACGTGAGACAGGAGGGAGAGGGGGGTGGGTGGGTGGGGGGGTGGACGGTCTATATCTTTCCTTGAGCCTCCGCCTTGCTTTCGCTTTCCTCCCCAGCTGGTGCCTCCCCCTCCTGGTCGGCTGGCGTGCGCACATTCGACAAAACGTGAGACAGAAGAGGGTTGGGGGGGGGGCGGAAAGGGGGGGTGGGGTGTTGGGAGGGTCTATACCTTTCCTTGAGCCTCCGCCTTGCGTGTTCGCTTTCTTCCCCCGCCGCTGCCTCCTCCTGGTCGGCTGGCGTGCGCAAGCTCGACAAGGAGTGAGACAGAAGGGAGTTGGTGTGGGGGAAGGCGGAAGGGGAGGGTCTGCATCTTTCTTTGAGCACGGCTGCCACGAGGGGGTTGGTGGGGGGGGGGGGGGGGGGTGGGAAGAGCGAGGTGGCATGGCTGCCATGCGGCCCACCCACCTATCTCCATCTAGGCTCTGCCTGCTGCTCGTCGTGTTCCTCGTCCACCCCATTCACAGCCCTTATATTTGCGATCTCTTGCCTGCCATCTCTTGCCTGCCATCTCTTGCCTGCCCTCTCTTGCCTGCCATCTCTTCCCTGCCATCTCTTACGTGCCCACAGCAAGAGTCTGATCTCGATGGGCCAAGGAGACCCATCTCCCGACAGGTGCGTGCTTTCTCTCACGTCTTTCAGAATTCTAAAAAATCTCTCATACCTCCCTTCACTTGCGCGCACGTTTCATGCCTCCCTGCACATGCACGCACGTCTCATGCCTCCCTTCACATGCACGCACGTCTCATGCCTCCCTGCACATGCGCGCATGTCTCATGCTTCCCTGCACATACACGCACGTCTTTTGTTGCAAACCAACTGGTGGGTACTCCAAGTGATTGGCCTACTCAGCCAGCCCCTTTCGCATTTTCTCAAAAGCACCATCCGTGCTCCTCCTGCTGCTTTCCAAAGAAGAATCCACCATGATGCACTCTGCACGGTCTGGTCGCTCGCGAACGCCTTGCTGGTCACGCTCTCGCTGCTTGCTTGCTTTGAGGCGCCTCAAAACTAGACTTGCTTGCTTTGAGGCGCCTTAAAACTAGACTTGCTTGCTTTGAGGCGCTTCAAACCTGCTGCTTTAGCCAAAGCAGAATCCAGCATGATGCACTCTGCCTGCTCTGCCTGCTCTGATTGCTCTGCCTGCTCTGATTGCTCTCGAACGCCTTGCCGGTCACGCTCTCCCTGCTTGCTTGATCCCACCATTCTTCCTGCTTACCATGTCCCCTCTACACTCGCACACACACACACATGCACACACACACACATGCGCACACACACACATGCACACACACACACATGCACACACACACACATGCACACACACACACATGCGCACACACACACATGCACACACACACACATGCACACACACACACATGCACACACACACACATGCACACACACACACATGCACACACGCACGCGCGTGCGCTCGCACATAACAGCATGCCTGCGCCCACAGCTACACTAGCCAAGGTGGAGATCAGCACCATGCGCTCCGCGTGATGTGCCACTGCAATGCCACGCCTTACCAGTCCCTCTCTCGCTTCTGCCTGTGCCCCCCCACCCACCCTCACACCCCAGCATGCCTTTGCCCACAGCGGCTCTAGCCAAGGCGGCGATCACGACCATGCGCTCTGCATGCTCCGCCACTGCGCTGACATGCCTGTTGGCCCTGTCCCTCTGCTTGCTGCGCTCCCTGTGCCCCGCCACACAGCATGCCGGCGCCCACAGCTGCTCTAGCCAAGGCGGAGATCACGACCATGCGCTCTGCGTGCTCTGCCACTGCGCTCGAGCTGCTTAAGCTGGAGGAGGGGAGACGTGGTGGAGGTGGTGGATGTGGGGGTGGGGGAGAGGAGGAAGGGCAGGGGAGTGAGCGAGGGGAGGGGAGGCAGGCCGTCAATGCAAGCCAAGCGAAGAATAGTCGTGATCATGTGAATGGGCATGCGAATGGGCATGTGAATGGGCATGTGAATGGTAGTGGAAGTAGCCATAGAGGAGTGACTCGCAACCACCGGCAACAACAGACCCAGCAGGAGGGGCAGCAGCAGTTGCCAGAAACGCTGTCTGCGTCAACTGTCGCAGAAATGGTAGGGCGGTTCCGTATCTAGAATACCACGCTTCAGTGCCACTTTTTGTGTCATTATCTTGGAGTGTGCTTTGAGTGTTATTATCTTGGAGTGTGCTTTGAGTGGTATTATCTTGGAATGTGCTTGAGTGTTATTATCTTGGAGTGTGCTTTGAGTGTTATTATCTTGGAGTGTGCTTTGAGTGTTGTTATCTTGGAGTGTGCTTTCAAGTGCACTACCGCGGTGAAGCCCTATGAAACGCACCACAATGCCATGTGCTTCCCATGCTGCTCCTCCCCTCCCCCCTTCCCTCTCCCTCCCCATGCCATACTACCCTGTTGTGCTACATGCTCTCACAGTGCTCTGCTGGCTTGCTCAGGGCTAGGTTACTCGTGTATCCTCCTTTCCCCCCAACCACTTCATCCCACCCCTTCCACCGCACTTTCTCCCCCTTATTTCTGTCGAACCTTTCCTCTTAATCACTTTATCCACCCGCTTCCGCCCCTCTTACTCCCCCTTTCCCCTTGGTCAGCTGTGCAGCAACCAATCCGTGGAGCACAAGCTGACGACGATCGCCAACCAGATCGACCGGCTGCTACTGCGCATGGACCAGAACATTCAGACATCCACTGCCCATGGCAGCAACATGGCAGGCAGCGCCAACAGCAATCCACCTGCCACCAGCGCGACAAGCAACGCCAATTGCAGATCACCTGTGACCCCGAGGGGTTTTGGGGGTGGAGAGGATGGGCTGCAGAGGGACGTGAGTGCGGTGGCAGAGCAGCAGAGGCTGATGGCCCTCGAGGTGAGAGTTTTTAGTCGACTCAAAATTCACCCCACAAAGCACCTGTCTGTCACCGTTCCGCAGTGGAGTGGGCGGACTGCACAGGGACGTGAGTGCAGCGGCAGAGCAGCAGAGGCTGATGACGCACGAGGTGAGGGCATGCAGTGATGGGTGCATGCAGTGATGGGTGCATGCATTGATGGGTGCATGCAGTGATGGGTGCATGCATTGGACAGAGAGGAGTGTAGATGGAGGTGAATGGGGTGGCAGCAGAGGCCGATGACACACGCGGTGAAGCTGAGGTGGTGGGGTGAGGATCGATTGTGTGCATTCTAGGCAGTACACACGTTGGATTGTACAGCACTGTTGACTGTACTTTTTCCATACAGTTCGCATTACCCGTGGCATACGTATATTAAAGAGCAAACGTATGTGCACTTGGCAACTTCTAGTTGACTGTACCACGCCATAGTGCTGCATTCATCTCACCATCCTCTCTCTCTCTCTCAGTTGAGTTGTGTGCTCGCCCTTTCTGCTGTATGCCCCTCTTGTAATCATCTCTGTCAACTTGGCATGTGGTAACGCCATGTTGGATCGGTTTGCTGTAAGCCATTGTGCTTCCCATCGCTACCTGTCACAACACCTGCTCTGCTCTGAACGTGTACTTTCTTGCTTGTGTAGGATTCTGCTTGGCTTCTTTCCTCTTTGTCACTTGTGATACCTGTCCTCCCTTTTCCTCCATTTCCCTTCCCTGCCCTGCCCTTCCCTGCCCTGCCCTTCCCTGCCCTGCCCTTCCCTGCCCTGCCCTTCCCTGCCCTGCCCTTCCCTGCCCTGCCCTTCCCTGCCCTGCCCTTCCCTTCCCTTCCCTTCCCTTCCCTTCCCTTCCCCTTCCCTTCCCCTTCCCTTCCCCTTCCCTTCCCTTCAACATTCGTCCATTCCACGTCTGCAGATCCAGTCGCTCTGCACTCTACTGCAAGAGGCCCAGCGCCCTTCATCTCCACCTCGCACCTCGTACTGGCGTGCAGCCTTCTCGTTTGCTTGCCTCAGCAGCAACAACTACAGCACCAGCAGCAGCAGTGGGAGCGGTGGGAACAGTGTGAAGGGCCAGTGGGTGTCCTCAGCTCTCATTGCTCTCGCAGTGGGCACAGCCTCCTTTGCTGGCACGTCGCTGCTGCTGTCACGCAAGACTGCCAACTAGCACCAACGACAGCAGCAGCAGCAGCAGCAGTGGGAGCAGAACGTGCAGCCATTAGGTGTCCTCAGCTCGTCCTGCCCTTGCCGTGCAGACAACCTCCTTTGCTGGTGCATCGCTCTTGCTGTCTCACACGAGTGGCAGCCAGCGGCAGCAGCACCTACTGGAGCAGCGAAAGGGAGTGTGAACCGGCAGTAGGAGTGGCTACAGCCTCCTTTGCTGGCACATTGCTGTTGCTGTCTCGCACGAGTGACAGCTAGGAGAAAATACAGCTGCAGTGAGAGGAGTGTGAACGGCCAGTGGGTGTGCTCGGCTCATTTGGCCCTTGTTGTGGAAGCAGCTAAGCAGCTTCCTGCCCATGTAGGTGCATCCTTATGGCGGTCTCACAGGCATAGTCTCCTCAATCTCCTCGCCTCAGCTTGTCTAGACTCGGGGCCATCCCTCTGTCTCTCGCATAAAGTGGCCTCATGACAACGGGCCTAGCAGCGGAAAGGCAGCAGTGACTGGCAATGCGGCGCATGATGGAACAATGGCTGGCAGTGGTTTCCCGGCTCTGCATCTCCGTTTTCCTCTGAGAGGGTTGTGCATGGTAGAAGGTGCTTCAGAATACTGTTGTTCACTATGGAAAGGTACATCCAAGAGCAAGGAGCTGTAAGGAAAACGTACCGTACTACTACTGAGACAAAGCGCAAGCGATAGGAGAAGCAATTAATAGCGTATCGCTTCCGTAACCACTCAATCCTCAGGCCAAAACCAGATTCTGGACCATAGTCTTGGAAGGTACCCGGTTAAAAGTTGGCACTGCTCTCGTAGGTCTGTGCGGCACTCCACCCGACAGGTATGACATTCCGCAGCACCACCTGCTTGCCGTTCCCCACCGCCGTCACACGCACGCTCACCTTCCTCCCCGCGTCCACAATCTCCTTGGCAGGATTCATGACCCACGTGGCACTCTCTCCCAGCACGCTCATGCTCGCCCACCTCCTCCCACCGTCCTTCGACAATTCCACCGCCTCCACTGCCCCGGCCTTTGCGGCTCCCAGCACCTGAACTGCGAACCAATACGCGTTGCTCCCCGGCATGATCTTAACCGCGATTCCCCCATTCCTAGGGCACGCCACGCTGCGGTACTTAATCTCCACACGGCCCGCGGACCGGTCGCGGACTATCTCGTCCCATGCGTCGTCAGATAGGAGAAAATTATCGCCGCCCTGCTGCCCGACCGCTCGGACAGCCACGCTGCTGCGCCTGCAGCTGGGGCTGTTTTTGCATGCGATCTCGTAGCACGTGCCGCACGCTTTTCCGCCTCTGTACTTCGCCTGAGGCACGTACGCAGTCATTCCGTCGTCGAAAAAGGGGCTGTTGCTGAAGTCGCCCTCGTAGTTGCATGCTCCGCCTCCGTAGTTGATTCCCTCGCTGTAGGTGGCGGTGTAGGTGGCGCTGGCGCCGGGAGTCACGGTGAGGACAGCGGCTAGGAGGAAGAATGAGAGGTGTAGCCGAGAGTTGAGGTTGGACGTGAGGGCCATGGCCGACCGCAAAGAGGAACGGAAACAAGCGAGAGGAAAGCAGGAAATTTTGAGAGCAGGAGCTTGGAGTTTGCTACTAAGGAAGCGGCTGAGAACGTTTCAGGAGATTCAAGAGATAGAACTTTAGAAGTTGAAGAAAACGACGACTCTGGGAAAGAAGCGGAGAGATTATGTACTCACGAAGTAGCTGCTTCGGGGCGCCATCATCGAGTCGGGAATTCCTCATATCGCGACGCGCTTCGGCACGCGCAGCGGCGGAAGGTTCACTTCTGCTCCCCTGCCTGCGACGACATCGAGAAGTGGAGGGCTGATTCGCAGAAGTGAAGCCGACGGTCATCCATCGATTTCATTCCATTCCGTCATCTCATCGCGAGTCAAGAACTGGTGGAGGGGGGAATTCTTGTGATGGTAAACGTTTCGTTCCGTCAAACCACAGAACTTGCACGGGCCATGATCATGGCCCTGAGTCCCTGACTTGCACGGGCAGAATGATTCCAAGAACAATGAGCCAACGCGATAGGCTCAACGAAAAATGTTTCCCCTTGGAACAATGTCTGTCCCGTCAGGTCGTGTGACCCGAAAAGATAATTCCAGGCATGGCGAGGCATGGCGAGGTGCGAGCACTCACGACGTCGGCAGGACGATTCTGGGTTTGCCACGTGTTGTTAGCTGGTTGCTGGAAGCCATTCCTGCCTCCCCCGTTGACAATCTTGAATGAGATTGTTCCGAATAAATGTGCTGCTGGGGTTCTGCACTGCTTCACGCTACTACCTCGCACCCACCTCCGCATGAGTGTAGCTGTTCACTTAGGACTACACCACCATAAAATAGCCTAAATGTGTCACACTAGCAAACTAAAAGATGTAGCATTTAGTACGATAGTACCACCATGATTGCCCAAACCTCAACACTAAAACAAATCCAGTATTCTCCAGCAGCTTGCTCCAGCTTGGGGTCATTGAACGATCTATGTACAAAATTAATCAACATGAAACATCAAATAATGTGCTGGAAGGCAGTGTCGTGTACTTCACCGGAACGCAATATAGCACTTGGCCCTTTTCTTAGGACAGCAGCAAGAGCGAATTGCAGTTCAAACCTGTTCCACCTAGGCCTCAGGCCTTTTGGATGTTAATGATTGCGATATACGCCCTCCCCGAATTCCTCGTCGCATAGCTCTGATATCCCTTTGCACATGTAGTCGCGCTGAATGCCGCACGCTTCGCTCTCGTCAAAGTGGTCGAAGAAGCCGGCCCCGGATGTGAGCCAGCAGGGGTTCAGATCCCCTGGCTTGGCTGTGATTTGCCTGTTGGGGCGGGGGGCAAAAGAGCAGAGGAGCGGGCAACAGAGTGGTGGATGTGCTGATTGCAGCACGCCTCACACTCGTCCAAGTGGTCGAAGAAGCCTGCCCCTGATGTGACCCAGCAGGAATCTAAGTCTCCTGGCTATGCTGTGATTCGCCTGATCGGACAGCAAGCAGTTCAACGGGCGGTAAAAAAAACGCATGAAAGGATTGCCCCAGAGATGAACCAGCAAGGGTTCACGTCCCCCCGTTTGGTTGTGATTTGCCTGGTGGGATAGTGGGCAGTAAAAGGGGCAGCCAATACAGTACAGTTGGCCTTCCCATCCAGCACAATCGGATTTGCCAAATATGGAAGGGCAGTGCAAAGGGTAGAAAACTTTGACCTCAGATGCAAGGCGGCACGGGGCTTCAAGTATCCCCGCAGGCTGTGGAATGGGCAGCAAATGCATGGAGAAGGAAAACAAGATGAGTAGAACGAGCCTAACATCCATTAGAAAGTTATGACATCCCCATGCCTTGCTGTTACATTTCGTCTTGTGAGGTGATCAGCCCTCGAAGTATGCCCTCAACGACTCACCACTCCTGGTCGTCGATCATGCTCTCTGTCATCCCAAAGGCCCTCAGCTCCTCCCGGCTGTGATGCATGCGCAGGCTGTACCTGCGACGCGGTGGCGGGGGTGGGGAAGGCGGGACAGGGCGAGAGGAGGCATTCCACTGGACTTTGATGCACGTGCAGGAGAGGAGATGGAAGGTACTTAGAGATTTCTATAAAAATCCACTTGATTTTGATGCACGGGCTCGAGAGGAGATGGAAGGGATCGGAGGCAGTAAAAGGGCGAGAGGGATAGGGAGACAGGTGGAAGAACAGGGAGTGAGTATGCGAATGGTAGAGAGGAATACAACAACAGTGAGGGATAAATTCAAGACAAAAAATGAGGGTGCATGTTAGTGGTTGAATGAGGGCACTGATGTGTAACCGATGATAACTGCTGTTGCATGAGTGGGTTAATGAGCGGGTGTGTTGGCAGAAGCAGCGTTCTCACTATGGTCGGTATGGTCCCTTGGTGAAAACCTTGCTACTGCCGACACACCACTTCCCAGACCGCTCATGCAATACCCAACGACCAACGCTTCATACAGCTTTGATAAATCCAACGACTGTTATCCACACTCACTTCTCGTGCTCGCATTTCATCCTTTGCTGACATCACATTTTCCCTTCCATTCGCTTAATCACTCCTGCCCTCTGTCTCTTTCACTTGTCCCGCCTCCCCTCCTCCCAGCGTTGAGGAAGTAAAGGAGCTCCTCGAACTGCTCCACCCTCCTAAGACCATTACCTGACGTGTGCCGCCTCAGACCATTGCCTGACGTGTGCCGCCTCAGACCATTGCCTGACGTGTGCCGCCTCAGACCATTGCCTGACGTGTGCCGCCTCAGACCATTGCCTGACGTGTGCCGCCTCAGACCATTGCCTGACGTGTGCCGCCTCAGACCATTGCCTGACGTGTGCCGCCTCAGACCATTGCCTGACGTGTGCCGCCTCAGACCATTACCTGACGTGTGCCGCCTCAGACCATTGCCTGACGTGTGCCGCCTCAGACCATTGCCTGACGTGTGCCGCCTCAGACCATTACCTGACGTGTGCCGCCTCAGACCATTGCCTGACGTGTGCCGCCTCAGACCATTGCCTGACGTGTGCCGCCGAATGGAGTAGTCTCACCTGCCTCCTGGCCGCAGCCGCATGACCACGGCACCAGCATTGGGGGGTTAAACAGCCCCTTAAACGCCTCCACATTTCTCTTGTACCACCACATGAGAAACACCCTCAGAGACAGCGCCATGCCACCCCTTGTCCCCTTCCCCCCATCTGCGCTGCTCCCCTTCTCTGCCCAACCACATGTGAGATCTGCATGCCGGCTCGTCGGACATGCCCCCTGCCCCCAGCAGTTAACCCACCCACCCCTCAGCCCCAACTGAATGACGATGGCGCCGGCATTGATGACGTTACAAAGCCCATCGAAATGCTCCGCCGTCCACTGACCATTGCCTATTTCCGCACCCCGATAAAGGAGTCTCACCTGCCTCCCGGCCCCAGCTGCATGACCATGGCGCCGGCATTGGGGGAAGTTATAGAGCCCCTCGAACTGCTCCACAGGCTATTGCTCTAGGGCATACATCCTGCTATCATTTGATACTGAACCATGGAAATGAAACCAGGCACCTTAAGAAACAGTACCTGCCTCCCGGCCCCAGCTGCATGACCATGGCGCCGGCATTGGGGGAAGTTATAGAGCCCCTCGAACTGCTCCACAGGCTATTGCTCCAGGGCATACATCCTGCTATCATTTGATACTGAACCATGGAAATGAAACCAGGCACCTTAAGAAACAGTACCTGCCTCCCGGCCCCAGCTGCATGACCATGGCGGCGGCATTGGGGGAAGTTATAGAGCCCCTCGAACTGCTCCACAGGCTATTGCTCCAGGGCATACATCCTGCTATCATTTGATACTGAACCATGGAAATGAAACCAGGCACCTTAAGAAACAGTACCTGCCTCCCGGCCCCAGCTGCATGACCATGGCGCCGGCATTGGGGGAAGTTATAGAGCCCCTCGAACTGCTCCACAGGCTATTGCTCCAGGGCATACATCCTGCTATCATTTGATACTGAACCATGGAAATGAAACCAGGCACCTTGAGAAACAGTACCTGCCTCCCGGCCCCAGCTGCATGACCATGGCGCCGGCATTGGGGAAGTTGTAGAGCCCCTCGAACTGCTCCACAGTCCACTTGTACCAGCGCATGAGGAACACCCTCAGGGTGAGCCCGTGCGACACCAGC